TTTTCTCACATATGAAAAAGAATTATTATTTTTTCGGGGGGGGGGGGGGGGAATCTATAAAGGCGTTAATTTTGATAGCTTCCTTTACCTTGACTGCTCCGGTCATAGACAGATCCTGGAATAATAGCCTCACGTGCATCATACATGGCAGTAGTCATGAAACGGGCACCCTGGAAGCATTATAGGAGTTAGACAAAGCCTTTACATAGAAAACTTTGCACTACAACTTCAGTGTAAGCTATTTTAGGTAAAAATCCAGTTAAACTCCACAGGCAATGCATACTTTACGAGTGCTGAGGAAACTAACTAGTTCTAATACACGGAAAACATCCAACTATCATTTCAACTACATCATGACAACAAGAAAAAAAAAGATTCTACAGGCAGCCTATCTCAAACTGTGAAACACTTGATGAATTTTCAGTTTGTTTTGAGGTTCTGATGATAATTCTTCCCTTGCTCTGTTCCTACCACTGTCCTTCTGTGATGGCTGACAAGCTGCCCCCCCCAATGACTACTTACATTAAAGGACTAAGTCTAAAACTTGCGCATTGAGGTTTAAAGTACAATGCTATTAAGTACACATGCCTAATGAGCTTGCCATTTCTACACAGAACAGTTACTTTGTTTCATTCACCTCAGAAGTTACCCCCTCATAAAATCTTGCAGTAAATAAAGAGCAATAAAGGCACCAAAAAGGCCTTTCTACAAGCGCTCAACTTAGAAACAGCTGATGCAGCAACTTCCTTGGGTCACACTGCATTAACTAGGCAACAAAAATGGAAAGTTACGGGTGTGTGAGGCTATGTGGGTGACTGTTTATTCCATCCATCTATAATTGATCAATCAACCCCCAATTGCTTCATGCCACAAACATCTGAGAGACAGGAGAGGTCAACTTACTGGATTGATGGTATTGACAAGTTTCCGGGGCTTGCTGAACTGCATTAGGCTTTCCCGGAGGTTATTCAGTGGTCCCTCCACCAGAACCTTCTGCTCCTTGTAGTAATTCAGCAGGTGATTCCAAAGTGGTTGTTTAGACAGCGCTTTTGGATTCCCAACAATAATTACTCCATACCTGTACAACAGCAGACAAAGAGAGAAACCAAAATTAACTTTGACTAAAAATAAAGCCATGTTACGTATTAATGTCAGAACAGCCTCGAAATCAAGTCTCTTTTGCAGTAAATCCAGGCACCTAACAGAAGCCCATGACAGTCGGTGTAGGAGACCCCGACGCAATTGTTTTGTTTACAGCAGATGATTTCTGTAGTATGACAAAACACTTGAAAGGAGATTGCTGCAGCCAGTTTCTCAATAATCACAAGCTTCCTTTTGCAGGCTTGCCAAACACGTCAGTGTACTCAACCAACCACACTGTACTGGTTTAAAGCTTGCAGAAACCAAGGAAGCCAACCAACATAGTACTGACTCCACATTACCCTTCTCAGTAATCAAATCCATTTTAAGAGAAGCAAAATGGTAAAAAAAAAAAAGGTTGCTGGAAGGGATAAAGAAGCAGATGAAGGGAAGAGTTCTGTCCTGCAAACAAAGGGGAACAACATGGAGGCTTCTACAAACCACTGATGCCAAATGGTAACACCAATTAGGTTGAGACTGCTCTTGTAAATTGTAGGGAATATGGATGTCATTCAAGGCTCCCTTAAACTGGGTGGGGAACGGGCCTGCTACCCACAAAACACAGAGCTTTTGTTAGTCAGACTGTTATCGATGCTTTAGCAGACCAAGTTAGGTCTCTAGAACAGGTAAAAGTTTGCTCAATTTTACTCCACCTTGCTCTTGTAAGAGCTACATTAAGACGCCTGGGGTCATTCAGAAACCCTATTCCTTGGTGTTCATTGGCCCTCACACAAGAAAGGATAATAAAGTCCTTCTCTCGTCCCTGGAAGGCATCCACGCTTGCAATTTCCACTTCCTGAAACAGAGGAAAACATGTAAATCGCGGAAGCACAGTGCAAAACAGTTATGCTACCAACAGGCATTACAAAATGTGTTGGCCATGCACTAGCAGTTCCCATCACTTGACAAAAGTGTTATTTTTGTAATGACGAATGATTTGATAATTCCACTGGTCACTAAATAGTTTCCCTAAAGGAGAACAGACAGTCTCAGTTTAGGACAAATTACTTTTATGTTCACTGCTTTATGGTTCTCATATTTCCCCAAAACTGGCATTTGCACTATGGAAAGCAACCCTTTTCTAGGTATGTTGCCAAAAAGGCTTCTGACTATTCCAAAACCTCGTAGTAAGACAGCTCCAAATTAGCACTGCTGCTCCCAGCTACCAAGAAACCTGAATCAGAGGGACAGATCATTCCTGGCAGAAGTAGAAGTATTTCCACTGAATTTTCCTTCAGTGAAAACACTGACCAAGTCCTCAGTATTGCAAAACAGACTATATTAAACATACAACCGCCTTGTTTGTAGCAACAAATTTTAATGTTTGGTAGAGGAGTTCCACTGATGGAGGACATATTCCCAAGCAAACAAACAGTATGACCACCAGAATTTATGGAGCTTGGTTTCCTGCATGTCTCTTGGCTGGATGCTTTTATCTAAGACACAAGCTGACAGAAGCTTTTCCACAGCTGAGCACTAATGACCTCTCCCCTTCT